TTAAAGTATCATCATGTTTAGAGGAAGAAATTAGATGTTGCTAAAGTGATAGGTTTTTGTCTTTTTAAATAACTTAAAAATTATTTTATTTCACAAAACTGTAGTCAGTGGATTTTTTGCATTTTGGACACTTGATTTCTCATTCAGTGCTCTTTCAAACACCACCTTTATTTCTCCTGAGCAACCCTTTACAAATATGGATAACATTATTCTTGCTGGTTATAATGTAATATTTAATATATATAATATTTAATATAAATGTAATATTTAACTTTTTTTTAGCATCATTACCTAATACTGTGAGCTTAGCAATGAGCATTACTTGGTAAATAGATTCCAGCCAGGGAAAGAAAGCTATTGGGTTGGGAGGGATAAATAAGTTTGATGTGGGAATTAAAAAGACAAAATATTTTATACAAATTTGTAGTACTAGGAGTTGTGAGGTCATTTTTGGGTAATAGATTATTTGATTACATAGCAAGAAATAATTTTAGTGACAAATGAAAAGGAAAGTAGAAATAGAAAAAAACGTTTTATGATTTAGATTCATTAAAACCAAATAACATCTGTGAAGTGACATAAAGAAATTGGGGGGAAAGTGTACTTTTATGTGCTAATAACTCTGATGGAATATAGTCACCATAATGCCAAGAATTGTCAAAAATGTCAAAACTTTTTGTTGATAGTCTTGGCTATTAGCCATGATTGTGAAAGACAGTTTTTCTGCTTTTTTTTTTTTGTTTGGTTGTTTTTTTGTTTGTTTGTTTGTTACATATATACAGACTTGTATATTCCATCTGGGAGATAGGTGTTGTTTATTTACCACATATAGAACAGCAAAAGTAAAACCACAATTCATTAAATGAACTCCCAGTTCCACTTGTGGCACCTTGATATGTAGGAATCTCTGATAATTATACTTAAGAAAATGTTTGGACTAAATAGATTGAAGTAGTAGAAAAAAGGAGATTAGAGAAGGACAGAAGAGAAGATAGAATGTGGATGATCTCTTTCTCCACTATAGCAGGGACAGACGAAGGCAGGAAGAAAGTAATAACCAGACCTTGATGCCAGTGATACAGATTGAAATGTTTGGGAAAAGTAAAAAAATAAACACCAGCCTAGTCATCTTAAATTTTGGGAGCCTAATTGTTAGTTAATAAGTGGAGAAAACTTGCCATGTAGACATATATAATTCATGGTTAATTTCATTTCACCTGCCTATATATCTTTACATTCCTGTTTCTCTCAAGAGAATGAAAAAATGAGGATTTCTCCTCCCTGGGGGAGGACTTGCTTTTGAATCAGTCATGGCTGGGGTGCTTGGTTGCCCCCAAGCATCCGACTCTTGGTTTTGGCTCAGGTCATGATTTCAGGGTTCATGAGACAGAGCCCCACATCGGGCTCTGCACTGACAGCACAGAGCCTGCTTGGGAGTCTCTCTCTGCCCCTCCCCCACGCTCTCTCTCACTTGCTCTCTCTCAAAATAAACAAACTTGAATCAGTCGTGCTGGCAGGTTGCTTTTTTCCATGTCTGAGATACAAATAGCAGTGGAGATTAAATATGATGTCTTCAAGATAAATGAGTTACAGTCAATGGAAAGTTAGAGATGACATCACAAGTGAAGAAAGATGAGCTTATTTGCTCCATTCATTCAAACTGGTTTTCCTCTTGATCGTTTGTACGTTTTTTTCAAGTTGATGGATTTGACTTGTATTTGAGTTAATAGGAGAGGTGGAGGAAGACCACATGTTTTTTTATAGGTACTTTATAATATCTGCAATATACATTGGCAGTATAGTCAAGGTGTGTTTGGAGTTGTAGAATTTTTTTTTAATTATATGTAACATTTTCTGAAGTCACCTCCTACTTTTTTATAGTTAAAAACTACTCATTGGTCTTAGAGTTTATATTGTTACATATAGTCAGAAAGCTGAAAAGTGATGTTGGTGTTCTGCTAAATATTTTAACCATAAAACCAGCAGTATTAGCTATATACCCTTAATTATATTTCTGCTGATGACAGTATGTTTTTAAATGAAGCTAACCAGAAAACTAGAATATGCACATTATATTCTTTTTGTTTATTTATTTTGAGAGAGAGCATGCAAGCAGGGGAGTAGAGGGGGCAGAGAGAGAGAGAGAGAGACAGAGAGAGAATCTCAAGCAGGCTCCCAACTGTAGGCACAGAGCCTAGTGTGGCCCAAACCATGAGATCATGACCTGAGCTGAAATCAAGACTCGGACACTGAACTGACTGAGCCACCCAGGTGCCCCTGCACATTGTATTCTTTAGAGCAGCACTGTACAACAAAAATATAATACAGACCACACGTGATTTAAATTTTTCAAGTAGCCACATTAAATAGTAAAAAGAAATGATGAAATTAACTTTAGTATATTTGACCTAATATATCCAAATATTATCATTTGAATATGTGACCAATATAAAATATTAATGAGATTTTATAGTTTTTGTATTAAGTCTTCTAAATGTATTTTTATACTTAGAGCACATCTCAGCTCTGACTAGCCATGTTTCAAGTATTTAGTAACTATATTCCCCATATTACATGGTACAGATTTAGAATATGACAAGAAGAATATCACTAGTATGAAATTAATAATTCAGGTTGGTTTCCATCGTCATGGGTCCCTTAAAATATCTTTTTATTTGTGAAAAGATTTTTTATCTTTTCATAAATGATAAATTTAAATACATTTGTGGAGGCATCTTGGTAGTAAACTCAGTGAAATATTTTCTACTCACCTGGTATTATCACCTTACTGTTCTATGGAACTATATGAAGAAATGTTTCTAAGCCCTTTGAGGTGCTAACCTTTTCCTTACTCTCTCCCTTTAAAGGAGATTTAGTTCTCTATTTCATAAAAGAACTCCTGATAGGAAAAAAAGTCAAAGTAATGTAGAACATAATTATTGTTAATAGCTGTCAGTACTCATAAACTAATCTTTAATCTCCCTTTACATAGAAGATCTATCCAGAAGAAAACATTTTTTTTAAGTCAATTGAAAACATTACCCTTAAAATAATTCTCTTATGTGATTATCTTTACAAAATCTATCCCAGGCCCACCTCCCCTTATGTATCTATTTCCCATTGTTTTCATTTATATTACGGTTTTGATTACTATTTCTATTTAGGTAACTCTTGAGCTTACCTTCCCAAAATATTCATTTGTTTAACAGATATTCATTGAACACCTATCTTGTGCCAAAAATTATTGCTAGGTACTTATAAGAAACAAGAGTTTACCCCTTTAATGAGAGAGGTAACAAATCACAGTAAAGCATATTACCATTTAATAAAGACATTTTATAAAGTCCCAAGAAATGGCTAAAACTACAGAGGCTGAGAGGATTGCCTCAGAAAAGGCTCTGATAGAGTAGTTGGCATTCAGGTATCTATTCAGAAGGCTGAATAGAAGTTTACCAGGCAGACCAGGAGAGGGAATAGTATTACATTTAAAGAATAGTAAGTAGCCCAGTATAGCGTTTTTTGAACCACATTTTGAAGGATCTTACTGTACCAAGCTAGCCATTTGCCTGTTTCTGATAGCCAGTTAGGGGTATGATCCCTTAGGAATTTTTAATCAAGGCAATACAGAATTCAGGTTTGTGTGCACCTGTGATCAGGAATATTCCTGCTTGCCCAGGAACCTGTTGGGAGACAAGCCTCCTTGTGCCTCAGGGCAGACCTGCCAACATTGGTCTAACTGTATCCTGAAGCAGCCCTATGAACGAACTCCATCCTTATTCAGCCATGGTCTGAGGGCAGTCCCACACACCTAAAAACCCAGCAGATGGCACACTTGTCAGTGCCCCCAGACACAGGCCTGCAGAATCTGGTCCCAGCCATGGACCCTGAAACAACCCTGACACTCAGTTCTAGCCCCTCTCATCTGCAATCCTGGGCACCCCTGCCCTCTCTGAGTCCCAGAACAGGAGCCTATCTCAGGGATCTGGTGGAAATCACTCCTGCCCACACACCTAGTAACTGGCAGCTGTTTGCAGACCTAATAGCAGACCTTTGTCCCAGCACCAGCCCTACTGACAAAGGACTCAGAGGCAGTCCTGTCCACCAGGAGACCAGACAGGATCCACACCTGCCGAGGTGTCTGGTAATGGGGTCCACAAACCATAGACCCCAGTGCAGGTCCAGCAGCAGCCATGTGACCTGGCTTCACCAACTTGAATGTGGTCCTGGATGCAATCTCATAGTCTGGAGACCCAACAGGAGGAGGTCAAACTTGTCTATAAAAACTGGAAGAAGTATTTGCTCCCCCAGATACACAAGACACCGATTCAAGACCACATAGATCATTAAAAATCAGGCAAACATGGAACCACCAAAGGAAACTTATAAAGCTCAAGTAACCATCCCCAAGGAAATAGAGATCTATGAATTGCCTGACAATTCAAAATAATCATCTTTAGGGCGCCTGGGTGGCTCAGTCAGCTAGGCGTCCGACTTCAGCCCATGATCTCACAGTTCATGAGTTCGAGCCCCGCCTCAGGCTCTGTGCTGACAGCTCAGAGCCTGAAGCCTGCTTTGTATTCCGTGTCTCCCTCGCTCTCCGCCCTTCCCCCACTCATGCTCACTCTCTTGCTCTCTCTCAAATACACATTAAATTTTAAAAACAATAATAATCATCTTCAAGAAGCTCAGTTATATGTAAGAAAACAGACAACTGAATAAAATCAGGAAAACAATGCATAAGCATTTTTCCATGGTCATTAAAATATTGATTTCTGGAACTAAGCTTTATACCTCAGTCTTCATTTTGTAAAGCTTATGCTGTTCTTGTATTATGTTGCTTTTCATTGTGTGTAAAAAACAATCTGAAGGTAGTTCATTGGATTCTAAGTGAGTTATAAGGTAGAAACTTTTCTAGGTATCCCTTCTATTTTCTATTTTTAATATTTATATTTTTACATATTATTTAGTTAGACAGTCATTTTAAATTACTTTTCTTGTAGGAACCTCCAGAAGTTTAGCCTTTTTGGAGACATAAGTGTTCTACAACAGCAAGGAAGTTTGTCAAATACATACCTCAGCAAGGTGGACCCTGATGGCAAAAAAATTAAACAGTAAGTTGTATAGTTAGTGGAAGGGGGTTTACATTAATAATAATTTTAGTTTTTCTGAGAAATTATAAGATACAATGAGAAGAGTAATATTTTTTCTAAGAAGAACATATGTCCTATAAATTGGAAATATTTTAACTATAAAATATGCCATTCCACAGCATAAATCTTTAAGACAAATCATAGAATTTGGGTAATTATTACGATTTAAAACTGCTATTTATCTGTTTGCCTTCTCTGTAACATAAATTGTATATCATCAATCTTTTCTACCATACTGTTGCAAAATGCTGCTTTCCTAGGGTAAAGAACGTATTTTTATGTGTTTAATAGAGTTTATTCATTATATTTTAATGTGAATTTTAATGGTAGAAATAATATGGTAATACTATTTATGTGTTGGATAGACATTTACTGAGAGAAAATGGATCTCAGCATTGCATGCCATTTCATTGCCCACTTTCAAAAGTCAGTGTTTAGAGGTTAGAGCTAAATGTTAACAGGATCATTGTGGCATGTGTTTTCCTTACAGAATTCAGCAGCTGTTTGAAGAAATACTGAGTAATAGTAGGCAACTGAAATGGCTGTCCTGTGGGTTTATGCTGGAAATAGTAACCCCAACCTCACTGTCATCTCTCTCAAACTCTATTGCCAACACCATGGAGCACCTGAGTTTGCTGGACAACAATATTCCTGGTAACAGCACCCTGATCACCACAGTCGAACTGGAGCGATTTGTGAATCTACGCTCACTTGCCCTGGATTTCTGTGACTTTACAGCCGAGATGGCAAGAGTCTTAACTGATAGCAACCATGTGCCTTTGCAGCGACTGTCTCTCCTGGTCCACAACGTTTCCGTGATGCACAAGTCTCTGGACAACATGCCAAATGATGAGCATTGGAAAGCCTTGTCACGAAAGAGCACCAGCCTCCGGGTCTATATAATGGCCTTTGATATCAAGAGTGAAGATATGTTAAAGATTCTGAAACCCAGTATACCACTAGAGAGGATTCATTTTGACAGCTACATCACTTGTGTTTCAGGAGCTATTGTTGATCTTATATCCAGGCAGTATGATAAGTTCCTCACTCATTTTATATTAATGAATGATGTGATTGACACATCTGGTTTTCCAGATCTTAGTGACAACCGAAATGAAGATCCATTGGTTTTATTAGCATGGAGGTGCACAAAGCTCTCTCTTCTGGCAATTCACGGTAGGTGATTTATCTAAGAAAACAAACAGATCTACTTGCAGTAGATATGTTTCTTCCCCTAATCACAAGATCTCTTAACACCATAATACAGAAGGAGAAAGTATGATTTCTTTATTGCTTGCTGCCTCATCTTCTAGATTCTAGATTTTAACATACTAATTTGTATGATATTTTTTAAACAATGGTTCCATTAAATGGGTATATGCTTTTTTTCTTACCGACGCCTTTCATTTTAATGTTAACTATTCTCACTTAGAGAGAGTTGCTATTCTGACAAGTAGAAGAACATTTTACTTCCTTTTCTGGAACATGTAACACATTTACAGAATACAAAACAGAAAGACTATATGAATGTCTTAAACTCACTTTATTAGTTGTGTTTTATTATGTTTTTAAATTAATTTTGAGCCTGCATTAGTGTAGGACTGTGTGTGTCTTTCTGTTCAAGTTTTGCTTCGTAATTTGGCCAGTCATCAGAGGTAGCAGCAAAGAATAGATCAGTATTAAAGATAATAAAATAGGGATTTTTTACAGACAAAGAAATACCAGGTTATTGAAAGGTTAATTTCAGCCAGTCTAACCTTTTTTTTTTCTTTTAAGAAATTAGAAATTAGATACAGCCAAAGCCCCTGTCATCCACTCCCCTTTATTCTTTCCCAGAGATAATCAATATCCTCAAGTTAGTACAAGTTAGTACAAGTTTCTGTGACTGTTTTATACTTTACATACAATTTTCTACTCTACTCACAATTAACAATTTTAGCTTTGAAGTGTCACTTCATAACTTTGGACAGTGAAGCATCATAGGAGAGGATTTTTTTAGTAACTAAAAACAACAGTTTCGTATGTATTGTTAATGGATACATATGTATGAAATAAAAATTTATGATACAGCACTATCCAAAGCTAGTTATACTTTAAATGTCCTCAATCTTACTAAGTGCAGTGATAATCAGAATAGGATTACAGCATCTACCAATGCACCACCCACGGTGATGGTTTTGGAAACAATATCAAACTTAGTCTTTTTTTTTTTTTT